TTTCAGAATTACTTTTAATGGATGGTAAATACAGTAATAATGAAATACAGTAATAAAGAAACTGTTCACGACCTTAGTGAGACCAAAGCTGGAATATACAGTGGTTGTATGGTGCCCATATCTTAAGAAGCTCATCAACAAACTGGAAAAGGTGCAAAGACATGCAACTAAATGGCTCCCAGAACTGAAGGACAAGAGCTAAGAGGAGAGGTTAGAGGCAATAAATATGCCAAAACTAGAAGATGGAAGAAAAAGAGGCGATATGATCATTACGTGCACAACAATAACAGGAATCAACAACATTGATAGGGAAGGATTCTTGAGACCTGGAACTTCAAGAACAAGTGGTCATAGACTAAACTAACTAAACAAAGCTGCCAAAGAAATGTAAGAAAATTCACTTTCGCAAACAGAGTGGTAGACAGTTAAAGCAAGTTAGGAGAGAAGGTGGTGGAGGCAAAAACCTTCAGTAGATTCAAAGATTTATATGACAAAGAGCACTGGGAGGACGGGACACCACGAGCATAGATCTCATCTTGTGAACCCCAATAGTTGTCTGTAAAGCTTCGCTGACTTTCTGGGTGCTTTTCTGGTTAAATGATGGAATGTCATTTGCTCTCTGCACTTCTGTGAAGAGGCTCAGGTTCTGAATCTGGTCCCTAGTAAGCCAAACAAAACTCCTGCAACCGATATTACTTGTAGGCTGGAGCAATCTGACTGAGGTAAGTAAAGAAGGCCATCAAGGTATGCCCAAAAATTTTTGTTTGGGGAAAGGCCAGTCTAATAAATGTAAAATATTCACTTGTCTGCCAGCACCGCTGGCAGTCTATATTTTTGGGCCAGTTTTTTTTGGTCAAATTTTTTTGGCCAGTCTAGTGTAAATTATTTTCCAACCAATCTTTATTACACTATTTTAACTACTTTCCAAAATATCTTTTTATTTTTTTTATTAATATAATTCCCAAGTTATTCATTCACACTTTCTGCTTTACTAATTTTTTCATATATTTTCTTGTCTCTCCATACTCCCATTTTCTTGTCTCTCTTTTCCCCTTCAATTTGCATTCAATGTATCCACTTTTTCCCTTGTCAACAACTACACCAGGCATTTCCTATCATAACAATTCATGCAATACCAAACATCATCTTTGCATTTTTAATATTATCATATACTGTACTTCCCATAAGTCATAAAACCAGTGTTGAATGTGATGAAAAGCAATTTTCTGGGCGAGCTCCGGAGACTCCCTGAAGTTATCAAACTGACATATGCCATATTAGTTTGGTGCCATCAGTCCCTGGAGTTCTAGCGCCTATTGGGGCAACAAGCCAGCACCTAGCCCCCTCAGAGAGGCACAGGGAGCAATGGCTATATGAGCACTCTACATTTAGAGTTTGTCATCCTGTCTGCTATCGACTGGGGAAGGCACCCAGAAAGGTAGGTGAACCAATACAAACCTCTAACTGGTTAAAATTGCAACCTATGTCTGAACAGAGCCAAAGAACTCCCCCAAAAAGAAAACAATGAAACAAGCAAATCGTTATCCAACTAACCCGCTCTTTAATGCCCCCCTCCCTTGACAGGGGAAAGGGGAAGTCTGCTCAGGCAAGCCAGCCGCTTCACCCCCAGCTCGTAGAATGATGAAAAACCGCCAACCGGAAGCAGGGAGGGTGTCAGGGAGCCTCCAGAGCTCGCCCAGAAAATGGCATTTCATTACATTCAATGTTGGTTTTCTGTGATGAGCCCCGTTGGGTTCCTGAAGCTAAATACACAGATAAGTAAAAACAGCGACTTACCCGGGACCTGCAAGACTGCAGGTCTCACAACAAAGATGAGACAAAAGGTCACGACAAATGTCCCAAAACAATACAAGGCCACAGAGGGCCCGGAACGTTGGCAAAACATCTGGAGGCCAGGACCCTGTTCAATTTCCAAAACCCCCATGCCCAAATGTCGACCCAAGACATAGTACTAAAGACAGCAGCAAAAGCAGTATACTTCCTCACTTCATGGGCACAAGGGTAGCCCACAGGCTGGCTAGACTTGATAATCCTGCGGAGAACCTGAGAGACACGAGCCCTGGAATAGGGAACCAGGGAAACTGGATCCACCCAGAGCACATCCACGGTCGCAGAACCAGTGGAGAACGGGAAGCGATGTAAAGCCGCAACTGAACATAAAACATGATGCACCCCCAGTCTAACAAACCAAGCATCAACAACCCATGGACCCCTCGGAAACCAGCTGTCTCATTCTTCGCTAGAAAAGAATTCGAGTGCTGCAAACAAACAAAACGACCCACAGAACCAAAAGAGCAGAAACCCCTGTGCCGGAGAAGAGCATGAAGCTCCCCCCTTCCCCACCCAACCCCTAGAGGCTAAAGCCAACAAGAACAAGGCTTTAGAAAACAATCCCGGATTGAAGGGGGCCATGACAAACCAAGGAGAAGAGAGAAACGAGAGCACCTGGTCCAAAGACCAAGAAGGCTCAGGAGCACATGAGCAGGCCGGAGGTGAAAAAATGCACGCGAGAGCTTGCAGAATGGTGCGTAATTGACATCCACCCCGAACACAAGCTGGATCGGCTCCTCCAATGCCACACGATAAGAAGTGACAGCATTCGGCATGAGATGCTGGTCAAGAAAAAGTCAAGAAAGAAAAGACAAAACAACCAGAACAGACACCAGCGAAAACCTACAAAGGGAAAGGAAATGGAGGAAAGACCACCAGGGAACTTCATACTGTATCTGAGAGGAAGACTGCAGGTGGGACACCACCAAGGAAGCCACCTGATCACCATACAAGCGGCGATATACCCATGTCAGAAAACCAGACGCGAAGAGCGGAAGAGGAAGCTGAACCAGCAAGGTAAATCACAGGCCCGACCTGCTGAAAGAGGCGGAGCTGCAGAAAGACACCCGGGTCTGGACACCAAACAAGCAGCGCCTGAAACCAAGGCTGGGCCGGTCACCATGGTGCCAGGAGAAGCACTCTCCACTGATTGGATTTGAGCCGTGTCAGAATCCAAAGCAACAGCTGGACCGGGGAACAAAGGTACTGGAACCCCCACCCCGACCAGTCCTGCTGGAAGGCGTCTACCGCGAAGGCCTTGCAGTCGGGTAATGGCGCTACATACGTAGGGAGACGCCGAGACCACGCCAACGCAAAGAGGTCCATCTCTGGATGCCCGTACGTCCGACAAAACCAAAGGAAGGAGGGGGGGTCGACCATCCATTCCATGAAAAGGGGAATGAATCGTGATAGGCCGTCTGCCAGGACATTGGACACTCCCCGAATAGGAACGGTGTGGAGCGCTAAACCCTGAGAACTCGGCAGAAAAGCAACCGAAGCGATCAGCCCCAAAGACCCATGAACGAGACAAAGAACAACCATAGGGGTGCAACCTGAATGGAGCCCGATCAGAAAGCCCCGAGGAAGCCGAATCTGCCGCAATGCCAGCCACACAGCTGCAAACACCTGCACTGTGCATTGAGCCGAATAGAAAGATAGAGCCTGACCAGCCTGGTGAGCACTGGTCACTAAGCCCAAGCCGAGGCGGCCGTGAACCATTGAACGCAGGAAGGGGAAGGTGCCATGGCACCGAACCCCAAAAAACCTGAAGATGAAGCCGGTGACTCAGCAACCTATGGAAAGACACCGGGGTGCGAACCCAGCGGTTGCGCGAAAGGCGAAAGTTGCTACCTTGAAGACACCAGAACAGCCTCCGAAGCCAAACCCTGCCCAGTGGGTAAACCAGCATGGCAAAGAACACACTCCTACACAACTGCTAGAGCAACTATCAACAAAAGAGCAACCATCAAGAAAACCATATGCCCAAAAGAAAACATGACAAAAGCTCCTCCTGAAGTAACACACAAACAAACCTGTCACCAGAAATCGTCTGCTGCTGTAGTGTACCCCACCCACCAAAAACCCACTCCCTATCAAGACGCAAGACGGGAAGCTCAAGACCCCCGACGGGCCCTAAGGGCGAGAACAGGGTTAAGCAACGAAGCCCTCAAACGGGAGCGAGACCCGAACGTCCCAGGGAAGATAACCCTAGAACATAAGGGAAGTATTTACACTGGGCACCCATGGAAGGGAACCTTAGGCACATGCAGCCTGGTACCCCCTAAGTACACCTGGCCACCACACCACACAAAGCTGGCAAAGCCATGAATAGCAAAAAACAGTCAAAGAAAGCAAGGCCAGAGGAGACTTGTTGACATTGGCACATCAGTCAATGAACTGAGGGTGGAGTGGCTGGCTCACCTGAGTGGGATCCCCCTTCCCCTATAGGGGGATGGGGGGGGACACTAACAAGCGGGCGTGCTAGTTGTTTCGTTGTTTTCTTTCGGGGGAGTTCTTTTGCTCTGTTCAGATATAGGTTGCAATTTTAACCAGTTAGAGGTTTGTATTGGTTCACCTATCTTTCTGGGTGCCTTCCCAGTCGATGGCAGACATGACAAACTCTAAATGTAGAATGCTCATATGGCCACTACTCCCTGCGCCTCTCTGAGGGGGCCAGGTTTTGGCTCGCAGCTCCCGGTAGGCACTAGAACTCCAGGGACTGATGGCACCAAACTAATATGGCACATGTCAGTTTGATAGCTTCAGGGAGCTGACAGGGCTTCCCACGGAAAATTCATCTTGTTACAGTCTCATCAAAACTATCAAAGGTATGTTAATTAGTGCATTATGATATGTTTAAATGTTCACAAGAGCCAGCAGATAATCAGGGTATAATGCTAGTCTAGAACAGCCCTTTTTGTCTGAAAGGCCATATTTGTTATGCTTTGTTTCCTTGCAGAACTTCCAATATTGCATCAAGTAGATGGAACAGGAGTAACCCCAATTATATGAACAATCTGGAAAACGCAATTGGAAGAGCTAATCGAGTCCCCATATATGGACCCCTGCACCACTGTGTTATGTAAAAGTTAATGAAAAAAAAAAAAGTCACTAAGTCCACTCAACAGAAAGCATAGTGCAATACTCACCACAAAGCCAGAAGCAAAGGAGAACCACAAATGCTGGATCATCACGCGCAAACTGGGCCTTTGTCTCTGAAATGTTATGAATTAGCGATAAAACATCATACACAGTAAATTTTTGATTGAGCAAAAAATCAGGACTGAATGTGATGAAACAGCTCTTTCTAGGAATGTTGGGGGGCCCTCAGTGATTCCCCTGTAGTTAGCTGCACTAAGATGGGTCTACACATACAAGTCACATCTATCCTAGGAGTCCTTAACCCATGGGCTGTGCCACTGTTTTCACCATGCGCATAAAATATAAAAATTCTAAACTACATCCTATATTTTTTCTTCTAATATTGTTAAAATACATTCCCCGATCACAGGAAAAATAATACAAAATTGTATGTGATTTACGTTGGCCATGGTAAAGCCTGAAAGTCTCATGAGTGCATGAATCATGTGCACTCATTGAGTAATCGCCTTCCCCATCCCCCTGTGGTGGTCCTCCCGAGTGAACCATCAGGCCAGAGTTGCCACGAAAATAATTTTTACATATTTATTTCAATATTTCTAATTAGTTTTTCTGTGTTTTTTGAAGTAATATTATTTAATAATGAATCTTTTGAGAAATATACAGTACAGTACTGTATATAATAAAATGTATGGAACATTGGAATGCATAAATATATTCATGTCACTAAGATGCGTCTATATTCTTTGCTTACAACAACAATACAACATTCTATTTTTGGTGTTATTTTACTGTATACACTCTTTATGTATAATTATGTACATTTTTATGCATGATTATGAGCAACTGAGCCATTCTGATGAGTGCGGTAATCTCATAACTTGTAGTCAAGAGCTCTACATGTTTTGCCTGAAATTGTAACTGCAAGCATTGAATATACTGTATAATATTTTCTCCTTATTTTTAATGTTATACCATGGTTTTTCCAAGCACAATGATACAATTGACTGTTAACAGTGTTATTTGTATCACAGAATGTGTAAATCATAGGTACGTACAGATGTATTTGTGTTACTAAGATACGTACTATACTACATTATTTGCTAAGGAATAATAAAACATTCTATTTTCGTTGTTGTTATACTGTATACACACTTTATATATAACTGTGTACAGTTCATTTACATGCATGATTATGAACCACTAAGCAGTTCTGGTGGATGTGATAATGAAATTCAAAGACAGTATAATACTACACACACTACCAGCAGAATGTGCCAGCAGGTGACACAAAATGCATCACAATATGCTATGCACATCACTAATTCTAGGCACAATGTTGATATTTTTTATCAACATCCTGATTACACACTATTCTTATTTGATAAATATATATAATAAAATGACTTGACTTGAGAATGGTCCAGGATGGATTCTCATCGATTTGAGAATGGTCCAGGACGGATTCTCATCGATTTGAGAATGGTCCAGGACGGACTGAAACGTCGTCGTCCCTTCACCTTCTAGTGTGTGGTCTGGTCAACTTACTTTAGCCACATTATTGTGACTCATCGCCTGCATATAATAAAATGTGTGGAATATAGCGATATTCAAAGATATGGGGCAAATGTTAGTGACAAGATTATTATTATTCTTAGAACAAGAAAACAGTGCTTTTGTTATTATTACACTGCATATACACTATTTATATACTGTATATAACTATCTACATTTTTGTGCATCATAACAAACCACTAAACTGGTCTGATGGGCCCGCCCACACACACACACACACACAATATCCTGGAAAATATTGGAGGGGTGACAGGTAAGCTTCTATCATGGATGAAAAATTTTCTGACTGATAGAAAAATGAGGGCAGTAATCAGAGGCAATGTATCGGAATGGAGAAATGTCACAAGTGGAGTACCACAGGGTTCAGTTCTTGCACCAGTGATGTTTATTGTGTACATAAATGATCTACCAGTTGGTATACAGAATTATATGAACATGTTTGCTGATGATGCTAAGATAATAGGAAGGATAAGAAATTTAGATGACTGTCATGCCCTTCAAGAAGACCTGGACAAAATAAGTATATGGAGCACCACTTGGCAAATGGAATTTAATGTTAATAAATGTCATGTTATGGAATGTGGAATAGGAGAACATAGACCCCACACAACCTATATATTATGTGAGAAATCTTTAAAGAATTCTGATAAAGAAAGAGATCTAGGAGTGGTTCTAGATAGAAAACTATCACCTGAGGACAACATAAAGAATATTGTGCAAGGAGCCTATGCTATGCTTTCTAACTTCAGAATTGCATTTAAATACATGGATGGCGATATACTAAAGAAATTGTTCATGACTTTTGTTAGGCCAAAGCTAGAATATGCAGCTGTTGTGTGGTGCCCATATCTTAAGAAGCACATCAACAAACTGGAAAAGGTGCAAAGACATGCTACTAAGTGGCTCCCAGAACTGAAGGGCAAGAGCTACGAGGAGAGGTTAGAAGCATTAAATATGCCAAAACTAGAAGACAGAAGAAAAAGAGGTGATATGATCACTACATACAAAATAGTAACAGGAATTGATAAAATCGACAGGGAAGACTTCCCGAGACCTGGAATTTCAAGAACAAGAGGTCATAGATTTAAACTAGCTAAACACAGATGCCGAAGAAATATAAGAAAATTCACCTTCGCAAATAGAGTGGTAGACGGTTGGAACAAGTTAAGTGAGAAGGTGGTGGAGGCCAAGACCGTCAGTAGTTTCAAAGCGTTATATGACAAAGAGTGCTGGGAAGACGGGACACCACGAGCGTAGCTCTCATCTTGTAACTACACTTAGGTAATTACACTTAGGTAATTACACACACACAGCATTGGGTCAACACACTAGCCAGCTAACGACACCACCTGACGCCACATAATGCCTCCAATATAACAACAATATTGCTAACTCTAAGCACAAGGTTGCTATTATTATCAGCATCCTGGTCAGTAAATCCTGAATATGAATAATTTTTACACAAGTTTATTTTCTAAAGAAGCATAAAGTCATTTCATGATGCATAGATGCACCAAACAATGGCCATGTGTAGTGGCTGTCTGCATCAAACTGTCATCATCATAAACACCACTTTGTTCACTGATATCTGAACACTGTGAAGAGCCTTTATTACAGTCAGGATCTTCTATGATACTATTATCATAAAATAACAGCACAGTACTTATATATTTTGTCAATTTTAAGTGATGCTGTGCTCACAAGCTGAACAGCAGTGCTGTTAGCATGTGTTGTATGCACCAGCCTTGGTTGCTCTTTCAATACTGAGGCCTTCACACCCAGGAATCTTGTCCACTATTTTTTTTTTCAAAATAGCGTCTGTTTACTGGAGGCCTCAGGAAGTTAATGTGAACCCTGTGTACCTGCGGGACTTTTAGATCTTACACAGTACTGTACTCTTAAATCATGTATGTATGATATGTGCACTGCAGTCAGTTAGGCCAAGATCATATATGATATGCACATTAGAAGGATAATAACCTACCAATTATAGGCCAAAATCTGCACCCCCTCCCCAACAGAGGGAGAGGGATTATGGAATTCACGATCACCTTTACTCAAGAAACAAACACCCAGAAAGTAAGCAAAGCAAAACAGACAGGCAGGTTCTCAGAAAGCAAACAAACAATACAGCAAAGCACTTAGTAATTTATCCACCCAATAGTTAGGATATATCCCACCTGGCAGTGGCAAGTGACATCAACCATGGGTGCTGCCAGTTGGACATCTCAACAACAATAAATCCAGAGCCTAAGAAAATACTAAATCCTCACTTGGACCCACTTGGTAGAGAGGTAAGATCCAAGGAGCCACCAAAGCCACCCTGAGAAAGAAGCACTTCATTACATTTAATGCTGGTTTTCTGGAGTGGCTGAACGGTGACTCCCTATTTCTAACACAGAAACTAGGGAAACTCACCAAGGAAGAAGGAAAGCAAAGATCAAATACCTGAAGGGAAGAGACCAGGATGGAAAACTACACCAGGAACACAGGCTGACAGGGAACTGGAACACTAACCAGGTAATGAGCCACCAGGACCTTGTTAGGTTATCTTGAGGTTATCTTGAGATGATTTCGGGGCTTTTTTAGTGTCCCCGCAGCCCGGTCCGCGACCAGACCTCCAACCCCAGGAAGCAGACCGTGACAGCTGACTTACACCCAAGTACCTATTTTACTGCTAGGTAACAGGGGCATAGGGTGAAAGAAACTCTGCCCATTGTTTCTCGCCGGCGCCTGGGATCGAACCCAGGACCACAGGATCACAAGTCCCGCATGCTGTCCGCTCGGCCGACCGGCTCCCTTTTAGACCTCTAAAACAACCCCAGACATTTTAGAAAATACAGCGGTCCACACCGCACGCTTCTAAACATCAAGGGGGCCCAAGGGTAGACTGAAGGCTGTTTAGAATTTATGACAGTGGACAACCTGCAGCAAATGTGCCATGGAACAAGGAACCAAGGAGACTGGATCAACAAGCAATGCATTCCCTGAAGCAGCCCAGGTCTCATGCAGGTAGCAACGAACAACAGCAACTGGACACAACAAATGATGCAGCCCCTGACTAAACAAACCAAGAATCAATGACTAAAGGACCCCTTCGAAAGCCAACCTTGTCATTCTTCTCCCGAAAAAAGGGAGAAGGTTGCAGATGAAAAAACTGCCCACCAGGAGTAAACAGACAAAACCCCCACTGCTAGAGGAGAGCATGAAGCTTCCCAATTCTACAATTACAATTGAGGCACAACAAAAGCCAAAGCTGAAACCAAAGCTGAGCTGGCCACCAAGGAGGCAGAATGATCACCCCCTGCCAGTATAAGGCTCCAGTCTGGGTAAAACCTGGAGGTGCCAAGCTGGAAGGGGAAGAGATAGAACAACCTACTCCTCAACCAGTCCATCCACTTCAAGAGCCTCACGAACAGAGAACGGAGCAATGTAGGATGAAAAAGTCTGTTCCAAGCCAATGCGAAGAAGTCCACCTTGGGGCAACTGAACATCTCACAGAGCCAACTGTCAGTGGTCCACTCTGTGGAAATGGAATAGAAGTGAAAGAGACCATCTGTGAGAAATTTGGACACATCCCATACACGAACCGTGCACAGAATCAACCAATGACCTACTCACAGAGTCCAGCTTCAAAGAGGAAAGGACCAAAGCAAACACCAGCAATTTAGACAGTGACCCACTAAGAAGCAGTCAGAATGGAGCCAGAGAATGGAACCCAGAGAGAGATGAACCCATCACAGGGCCTATCACAACACTGCAAACTCCCGAACTGTAATGTGCACTCAAAGGATGGATCTCCTCAACAACCCTGGAAAGCCCAGGAAGTGGCAGACACAAAGACCCAACCCAGGGTTGAGGCATCCATACACACAACAAGCAATGGAGGAGGAATGCGCCAAGACACAGAGCCCCAAAAAACCCCAAGAGGAAACGGGCAAACCAACAGCCAGCAAAAGGCAAACGTAACTCGCACTGGTGGTAAAAAGAATGAAACTGGAGGAACCAGAAAAATGCCCAGAGCCAAACCCTGCCCATGGAAAATATCATTAAGACAAATTCCAGGCAACTGTTCAACAAATTAGAGAGCAAACTGGTGCCTCTCTAATATCAGCAGAAGTAAGCTTGCAGGTGGAGCAGAGCAGCTGTTGGCTAGGAAGGAAAGTCCTAGCACTGGAAACACCAGAACTCCAGTGTATAACAGAAACCCCTGATAACAAGAAGGGAAGTCTCCGTGGAAGAAAAGAAAAAGGGAAGAGAGTCGGAGGGACACTGGAACAAGTAGGACATACCAGTACACCATAGACTGAGAAGGCTGACCTCGGTGAGCCTTGGTTAGGTTACAGAAATCCTGTGTGCGCCAGCAGCCAAAATCTGTTCCCAACCCCTGGGAAGACCAGCAGCCAAAAACAAATGGACTTACCTAGGGTGAGGCCCACCACAAGCGAGAAAGCCTTCTAAGGGAGCAAATCCTGAATACTACTGGGAAAAAAACTGAGAGTGCTAGGGAGCACTTAGGGAAGAAACCGGTTCGCATGCAGCTCCAAGCACCCTATACTCCTGGCTTATGCAGCACAAACATACATTGGAACAGCCACAAATGCAAAATTCCTGCTTAGCTGAAGGCAGGAAACAGGAGCCAGAGCAACAGAGTGGACAGCCAGGCACTAACTACAATCAGCAAGAAATGAGGGTGAAGCAGCCAGTTGCCCTGGTCTGCCTCCTTCCTCCCCTCAAACGAAGGAAAAAGGTGGGATGAGCAAACTAACACTAGTTTCAGTGGTCTGTTTTGTTTCGCTGACTTTGTGGGTACTTTCCTGGTGGAGGTTTTTTAGCATAGTGAACAGCATAAACAAAATGAACAGCATTTTTTAGCACAGGAACACTCTTTATGCTCAGATGAGTCTTAAGAAAAACCTAAATGAAAGAAAACCTAGCTTAATCAGCCACTGAATGAGTTGATGTCAAGATTTAAATTGAGAATAGCTGGTTCCTCTGACCTTTTTGTCGTAATGGGTATGACACAAAGTATGAAGTATGGATGTGTATGAAACTTTGATTTACTAATACTGTACTAATCGTAGTATGTAGAGCAATAATTAGAAGTCTAGATATTCCTAACTTTTACTTGCAGGGGAGGGGGGGGGGAAGAATGTTTGAGTAATGATTCATTCTTTTGTATTATAAGGAGCCAGTACAATAGGTGGTGGCTTGAGTTACTCTCTCTACTGTCTCCCCTTCCATAGATACATGACAAGGCCGGCCACTTGCAAAGTCCCCTCATACAAGATGTATTAAAAATCTTGAGAACCTAGTGGGTGATACAAATCCTAGATGGACAACATAGGACATAGCTACAGGAGCATCTAAAGAACTTTAGCTCAGAATGATTTATGGGTGGAATGATTTTACTGGAGAAGTGTTGCTTTATTTATTTACTACACAAAAGATACGTTCATGAACAAAACTTTACAAAGTTTAAGGTCCTGAATCTAAAATTCATTGAAAATTTTGATTTATGTATACTTACGTTTTCTGTACTGAAAATTTCTATAAACTTTCTGTGGAGATATAAATAGATACACCATCTGCCATGCCGCAAATTCAAAATCCATTTGACGGAACTTAAGAAGCCGTCTGAGGTACTTGTATCTTTTTGCTGCGGCCGTCATGCAGTCGTGTCTGTTGGGCAGTAAAAGTGTCAATTACATTACCTGGATAAAATATACAACGCTTCCCTAAAATGTTGCAGTCACTCATAGTGCATTCTCAGTAATTTACAAAGAACATCATCAAACTAGAATACAACTGATGTTGAAGAAAAGGAATGCTTACTTATTTAACTTTTTTTTTCAGTCATGGTAAGTGTAGCAGCATTTAGTGGTATACTCTAAAATCCTAATTCTCTAAAACATTTAATTTAAATGTTTTTAAATTTGTTTCTACTTATCATTTTCTCCTTATATTCCTTTACTGAACTTTGATTTTTGCCCCATACATTTAAAGTACCACGTTATATAATACTTGCTAACGTGGTTTTCTTATCCATGTCATACAATTTATGTCTATTAACCCCTTTATGCTGCATTAAATGTTTCTATCACAAGTCACCAATGCATGGCTCATAATATTATGGGCTCATCATCTAAGTCAGTAAACACGGTGCCTGGTTCCCACCAGTCCCTGCACCTTAAACCAATTAGCAACTCGGGCTAATAAATTCATACAGTTCAGCCTTCCCCTGTCATCAGTTTCTTCCCATATGAGGCAATGTCTGACTAAAGAAACTACACCATATAATTCTACAGCAATCTCCAGCAATAGAGGGGTTCCAAGCCACAGTCACTTAGTAACGACAAACAATCAAACACCTAGTCAACTTCCTTATTAGACAACATTTTAGTTTAGTTTATTATGCTCCCCATACCCATCCCTTCAGTGGTGTGGGGAAATGCTATATAAGCACAAAGTAGTTCCAGAAACTGAAACCTAATTTTTGTTTAGCTAAGCAATTTACAGAGTATGTTAACACTTTCACATTCTGATGATGCTAAAAAAATCCTCCATACTCCAACATTAATCATTTCGATGATGCTAAAATGCGTGAACCAACTGCTATTCATAAACATTCATTTATCCATCGCTGTTGTACATAATCTATCATAAATGTACTTTTGTTTCCCATCTATTCTCCAGAGAATTCATTTGCTGAAGATATGATGACCAATGAACACATCAGAAAATGGAGAAACAACATTGTTTTGGTCTGTCCCGGACCACTATCAAGTCATGATAATGGTCCAGGATGGACTGAAACTTTGCCATTTCTCCATTTTCTGATTTATAGATGTCCCAACAAATAACTTAGAAAATCTAAAATGATTGTAGACATTTTAAACATCGCTGAGCATCGAGCCTGCTATGTTTACAGGTATAAACATGCAGAGAGGAACATAATCTTTTATTTGGGAACATTTTGACACCAAAATGATAAACATACCCCAACAAATAGTTTAGAAAGTATAAAATGCTTATAAACATTTTTTTGCATCACTGAGTGGCCCGGGGAGCCCAAAATGTTAACAGTCGGGAACATGCAAAGAGGCCAGACCGCCAAAGTGTTAACATATACATCGACAATCTATTCACAGTTTATCATATCACTAACTTCATAACCCCAAGAGGCTAACACAATAAGTGAGAGTTTTAGTTAGTTTAATTAGTTTATTATGGACCGCTTGTGGGTGAGTGGCAGACTTGTTTCAGTGTCACATAATGGGTTCAGGTACTGGATCCCAATGATCTTGAAGCTAGGCTTGTTCCATTTGCAGTATTCCAGTTACATATAATTTTAATTTCCCTATCATGCAACACTCACCCACTCAGTGAACGGTGGTGGAAAGGTTACAATAATATTTATTTATTTATATACAAGAAGATACATTGAGTCGTGAGAGTACATGAATGCACTACCTACAGTAGGCAATCTTTAGATACTTTGCTAAGATTGGTTGTAGTAAATAATTTTGAATGAAATTTTGCACATTCCTTTAACATTGTGCTTAAGAGCTGTATCTAAATTGTTTATATGTGTTCACATTCCATCACATAGTGATACAGGATGTGCAACTAGGACAACATTAACAGATGGGGCTGAGCCACCACACGCTCAAATTGCACAGTGCACAAAACCGTTTACAATGTAGACATTCAGTTTATTCCCACTTTCTCCCTACATTTTACATCCAAATTAATCATTCTATAAGGCAATGATATTTTTTGTATTTTTTCACACAGGCGTAAAACGTATGTTTAAAACATAAGCTGCACGTTAAGAGATTAAAGAAAAAATGATCTAACATTCATTCCCTGTACGGCACTGCTGACCTATTTCCTCTAGATTGACGCCTTACCAGGCCATGAAAATGGAAAATACTACAATCATTATAATGATAAATTCAATCTCTTATAATGTACTAAATTTTTCCTAAAGGGTTCTTATTATTATTCTACATAATGTTAGCAGGAACACTATCCTTGCATAAAACTATTGACCTACTATAAATGTAACATAGCAAGACAGGCAGCATCAAATAAAAAGTAGAGAGATCGTAGAAATTACCCACTTGAAAAAGCTATATAATACTGGAATGTAGATATGTATTAAAAATAATAATTATTAGGAAGAAGTGAGTATTAAGGGCTGTTTTGTTTAGCCATGTGAAAATATCCTTATCTACTCTACTTCCTCCTGTCATGTGCTCTCAATTATCCTACATAGCTATGCAACCTGGCTATTATTATACATGATGAACCTTTCCATAAAAGATCAAGCAACACATTATACAGCATAAATCATACTACTTGACAACTAGTAACTGACCTGTGGGCAACTGGTGTTGGAAGCGGTGACCCTGTGCGATAACTAAGGGGAACTGTGGTTGTTCCTTGGCTTGAAGATGGTGACTGCACTCGGGAAGGTGCTGGTGATGTTTGGTACTTATTGTTCGTGCTGCTGAAAAAATAATATTCTCAGTCAATAAACACTCCACAACTAGATATGTTTTAATTGCAAAGGCATCCCTGGGCCAATACATCTCTCATCATGAACATGGTGATGTAGTGAGCCTAAGGAGTGTAATGAAAGTAGGCTGATGTAGAAAACAAAGACTGGACTGTGTAAGGTAAGATGGGAAGACGTCAAGAAGGTTGAGAAGGAGAGGGAGGACATGGTGCTGTTGTAGTATTCACCTATTTGTGCTTGTGGGGGATGAGCTTTAGTGGTTGTGTAAAAGTGGTGTGGGTGTCACACTGCAGAGGTATTTTTATGATGCTATACCAGTGTGGTATAGCAGTGCAACACCCACACCACTTTACAGCTGCCTTCAACCTCGTTCTGACGGTTCCTGTGATGGTGCTGGAATCAATCATATTGGCGTCCACCTTTTCATTGGAGACTTTTGGCACCGTGGAGAGGGGAGACCTGCTGCATGGGTGACAGCTTCTCCCCTGTATCAACCTACCCTGGCTTTGTGCCCTGGAAAGGCCACTCCAGACAGACAACCAGAGTGCAACTCCATAGTCTCCTGAGAGTGATGGATGCCTACTACTATAGCAGTTTAGCAATAGTGTAATGGTTATCTTATCTTATCATGAGATAATTTTGGGGCCAAGCGTTCCCGTGGCCCGGGGAGGTGGTGGTGGTGGTGGTGGTGTGGATTGTTTTGGGGGTGGCATGAATTTCTGTGTAGGTGGTGTGGATTGTCATGGTGATTTGGTGATGCTTTACTAGTGTGTGGGGTGATGTTTTAGTGGAGTATTGGTAGTACTGTAGTGTTTTGGGGACATTTCATGGTGGTAGTATTGTGGTAACATCATAATGTGGTGGTAGTGGCATGGTTGTCAGGGTGGTAGTGGCATGGTTGTTGGGGTGGTAATGTGGTGTTGGTGATGAGATGTTAGTAGTGAGTTAGGTGGAATTGAGTTCAGACATATAAATCAGGCATTGAATGTAATGAAACAAATTTTCCTGGTGGCTTTTAGTAGGTCCCCAAGCTTAGCTCTGGTACTACTCAACCTCAATTAAAAAGACAAAGCCTCAGAGACCTTGCCATCATCTAACAAAAGATAAAATCAGAATTTGGTTCACTCTACAAAGCAAAGGGAAGCTTGGGGAATCAAAAGACTAGCATAGGTGTAACAAAACAAATGACTGTTTGAGGAAAATTACACATCCGTGGGTAAACAAAGCAAGCGACACCCGCAAGTCACCCAGGGGTCACCCAGAAAGTTAAAGATTCATCTCCCTACTTTGCTAGTAATTCCTTTTGTGTACAATAACACCATACCTTGAGGTGTTTTTACCATGAGGTGTTTTCGGGGCTTAGCGTCCCTGCGGCCCGCTCGTCGACCAGGTTTCCTGACCTCCATGGTCACATTTGTCAAAAGCTTTTGCAAAATCTGTGTATATTACATCAGCATTTTGTTTGTCTTCCTTGACATCTAAGGCCATGTCATAGTTGTCCAGTAATTATGAGAAGCAAGAGTACCCTGTCCAGAACCCATGTTGGCCAGGATTATGTAGGCACTGTGATTCCCTGTGTTTTGTGATCTTACTTCTTAGCACTCTTTCAAAGATTTTTATGATGTGTGATGTTAGAACTATTGGTTTAACAATTTAGCATCTCCTTTACTACCTCCTCTGTGAAACGGTGTGCTCTCTGCTGTTTAAAGTATTTTGGGGACAACATCAGAATCTAGGCTCTGTCTCCAAAAGATGCTTATGGCCTGTGATAGCAATTCTTGATGAATATAGAATATCAGATGTCCTGGTTTGGTGCAGAGTACATGGGCATGCTATTTATGGCTACCTGAAAGTTCAGTGGGATTAGGGTGACATCTGATATTTGTTTGATGTTGGTGTCACATTCATGAAGAATTCATTTGGATCAATGATCTTCAAAGTGTTCAGGCGTTCACTGAAAACAAAATCATACTGTAGCCTCAGTATTTCACTCATTTCTTTGTTGTTATCTGTGAAAGTTCCATTATGCTTGCACAAAGGCCCAATGTGGGATGTAGTTTTTGTTGTAGATTTTGTATAAGAGGAAAAGCATATTGGAGTCACCTCTATTTCACTTAGGGTCTCTTGCTCTCTTTTCCTCTCCTGGATTTTATGATTCTTGCAACTTCAGCTTTATTCTTTCTACTGTACAGTATTTCTTTACATAACTTTCTTTTTTGTTCCTGTGATAGAGTGTAGGTAGCATTTTAGATTTTCTTAGATTTGTTTTTATTGCCTATAGAGGGAATGCTGTTCTTGATCCAGTTTGCATCTTGTTCTTTCTCCTTAGTGGCATGTGACTTGGACATAGTATTTTTAGTGCTACTGTGCCTATTTTCTCAAGGCACTGGTTTACCTTGTAAACCAGTGTTGTTGAAAGCACCAGTCCGATGCACTGAGAAGACAAGTACAGTAGTAGTAAGGAAGGTCCACAAAGTGGATATGCAGCTGTTGCCACCTTGTGGGCCAAGATTCACACATAATAATGAGTTAGTATGCTATTTTGCTGCACTAGTATTTTATTATAAATCATATAAATACATTGTCCAATGACAATATTTCTTATGTCCCTTTGTACGAAATGCTGACAACCACTATTTTTTTTTCTCTCTCTCTCTTTGTTTCTATGTGAATTTTGTTACGACTTCTACATCTTGGAGAATGCACATCCAGCACTAAGAATGTGAAGTTTGAAAGAAGTTAATCAACATATTAATCAGTCACAGGTAACAGAAGTTGTGACTCTTATTTTTTTTGGACAGATTTATTTAGACTTCAAACTTTATTCTCTTTGTCTCTTTAGGTTGTATTGATGAATGAGGACCAGATGAGGACCTTATTACTTATATACTGTATAGGGAAATAAAGTTACTGCAATATATGTTTGTTATCCCTAACCAATTTCCATTTTTTTTTTTGGGGGGGGGGATATTTTTTCTTGACTTTATTACAACACATATTGACCTACAACCTTCACATATTCGAGTACGAATGCCAAGCATTGTTTATTAAAACATACAAGAAAATTCATTAATTAGAACTACCATATTCATTGTCGATAACTTCAACTTCAATTATCTCTAAAACGGGCATTTCAACTTTGAGACAGCTTCAAAAATTCAGTTTCTGACTGATTCTCACCATTTTTTACATTTTGTGCAAAGTTCTTAGCTCTAAGGTGTCCTTACCGTCGTTTAGTCATAAACCCATAACTTTTGGAGTTATAAATTTTTTGAATCTAAATTTTGCACATATTTGGAAGGCCACGTTGAATAATTTTTTTTACAGTAAACTATACTCTCAAACAAGATTTTAACAGCAAGGAACATGAACATTATATGCCATTCTGATACTTTGATGAATAAAATATAAATTGATGACATTTTAATATTTTTAAACCTAATTTGAAATTGTGAATTTTTAATTTTTTGTCTATTTTTTTCTGCTCATGGTATGATGTTGGTCCATTAGGAAAAGTTGGAGCATTTACCATGAAGATATTATTCACAAAAAAAATTTGTGTGTTTGAGGAAGTTTCAGTACACAGTCACCGGGTCCCTAAGACATTAATCTCACATGATAGCAAAATAACATGTGTGGCACGTCATCCTAATACCACCTCTTTCATCCAACCTATGGATCAGGGAGTTATCTGTGACACAAAAGAGGTTGTGCACCAAAAAGATGCTCAATGAAGTTTTGGTGGTTTTGCCTCTTGAGGAAGATGGAGCCTGCTGTGGATACCAGGGCTTAAAAAATCTTGAGAATTTGAAAAAATATTTTATCAAGGAAGCTATTTATAACTCGGCCAAAGTATGAAGTGAAGTAAAGGTTTCGACTTTGAAGAATTCCTGGAGGAAAATCTTCACAGTTATGGCCAACAATGAAGAGGAAGAAGAATAAATTTTGAAGGATTTACAGATGAAATCCATGGAATGTTCAGAAATGCTGGTGAAAATTTAGAAAGCCAGAATGTGTATGACCCAGGATATGGTGTGATGGGCAAAGAAGAGATTGTTCAGTCTGGTATTAGTGAGATCTATGAAGAGGAGGAGGATGAAGATGGTAATGAGGAACGAACACCACAAACAACTAAATAAAGTTTACTCATGTCTTCTATTGACATGCTAATTAATTTTTTGTCCAACTGAGCTAATCCAGAAGTTAGAAACATTTATCAGTACCTGAAGCAAACCAAAGAGCTGATTATAAGAGGGGCCAATGAACACAGGGGGCAAGCTAAACTTGATTCTTATTTTGTAAGAACAATAACCAAAGGCCCTTCCTTCACTGAAGCTTCAGAAGGCATCCAAAGACCATCAACATGTGATGCCTCACAAGCAATCCAAGGATCTAAACAGTGAAGCCTCACCAGAAATCCAAGTGCCTTAAACTAGTGAAGCTTCAGCAGTTGGTAGTCAAAACTAACCTTGCCAAGCTCATGTACTGTACAGAAACTTTAGTGCTGTGTTAAGTTTAGTTATGTAAATTTTGAAGAATGATTTTTTTGAAGATATATTCTGTATTACTGTACAGTACTGTCTGCAGCATCAATCAAGAAGATGAACTACAAGATAAGCTGAAGTTTCTGTTTAAAATTACAGTACTGTACTGGTATATTTCTTATTTATAATGTGTGTGGAAATTAGAATTATTCTACTTGTGATATAAAAAATTGTGAATGTTTACTTTTGGACTTCCCCAGTAAAAATTCTGTTTATCTGTGCACCTGGCTTATCCAGCAGGGGGGGGGGCTTCCTATTTAATTCAGATAAGTGAACTCATACATTATTTTAATAATTTTCCTTACTTTATTCATGCAAGTGTATCATTTTATAAGATTTTTAATAATAATAATAATAATAACAATAATAATAAAATTATAGTTTTTTTCCCCCTCACAGGCAGAGACACTTTTGATCAGAGCAGCACTTAAAGTTAAATGAAAAACAGGAGTTAAATGACACAGTTATACTAATCAAATCATCACCAGAAAAATGTAGCTCCTGGATAGGCTGTGAGAATAAAATTACTGTCAAAATAGGCTACAGATAACTCCAAGTAATAATTAATAAAAATAATAATAATATTAATAATTTTTTATGGTATTTTAAAAACTATACAGCACGTAATACAATGGTTGCTTATTTGTTGCATAAAAGTGCATACTTAATAGTCACTAGTATGCAAAGCATTTTGAGCATAACTTAAAATAATGTAAAATTATTTATATTTTTAATGGGGGTAAACACTTAATACTAAACAAGAGTTAAGCCAACATATTTGACTTCAAGTAATTTAGCAAATGATATACAATATTTAGGTGACACTTACAGATGAAAAGCACAGGCACACATGCTTAGCTATTAAAATCAATAATAACTGCAAAACACAAAAATTTCTTATTTTGGATGAGGAAATGCAAGTGAGATTTTCTACATGTTAATTATATATTTCTTAAATTCTTTTACTAAACTGGTTGGGAGAAGTATAGCTTTTAATCATATTTGGGAGGTCATTCCACAATTTGGGACCTTTAA